ATAACAAACATCCACTGTCAATACAGATACTACAAAGAAACGTAGTACGAGGATCCCAGGCTCGACAGCAAAACCAGATTTTTAAAGCTTTTTAAAATTATATATTGTTATTGCTTTTAAAACAAAAAAGGAACAAAGCACAAAGAGGTATACATTATTTTAAAAAAAGAACATAACAAGTGCTTAAAAATTAACGGGGGGAAAAAACCAGGACTTCAAGGCTTTGTGAAAAGCCAGCAAGGTTTGGATGATGAGTCTGGTATTCCAGAGCTTGGACACCATAACAGAAAAGGCTCCTTGGGTCCTGCCAGATGAAACTTCCTCATGGACGGGGACTCCTTCTGCCAGATCTAACGATGTGGGTATATATTGCCAAGAACAAGCATGGCTACCTGCCACTCCATGAATTTTTCCAAATCTTTAACTGATATCATTTGATGAGAATTGACTTTTTTTGGATAAGAGTTTATTTATACAGTGTATCTCACGTACATACTTGTGTTAGTCAAGAAAGAGCAATTGTCTTTCTCTAGCAATCAATTTGATTTCTATGCTAGGCACAGAAAATCCCCAGTATATAGTTCTTTATTGCTGATGGCCCTCAGGTAAGCACTGAAATGTAATCATAAACAGCGGCCACAAATCTCAAGCTCATACTTTCTCACTCCATGTATAAAAGGACATAGCAAAGTTTTACATTGACACTTCAGGTCAAACACAGCACCCAGTTCTAATAGTTTCCTTGTATTATATTTTTGTAAACCTAGGTAACTTCAGTGAAAAAGAATAATAATAATATTGACATAAAGTACATTGTTTCATAGCTGCAATTTAAAAGAATCTCAAACAACTTTCCTGTCTTTTGATTATTATTGAGCATTTTATCAATTATGTGTCTTAAAACTATATTATAATTGACTTCATTTTAAAGAATCAAAAGCCCTTGATTATAGGGTACTATATGGTTTGATGCTATTGCCACCCTATTCAACGGCTGAATAAAGTCATTCATCAAAGTGTCAGATACCATCAATATTTTAATGAGACTCAGCTACATATTTCAATACCTGACTGAACAAGTTATGATATCAAGATCATATCTGATTGTTTGAGGTTTTTGTATGTGGTTGGGGGAGAAACAAACTCTGTCCTATCAAGACTGAGTGGATATGGCTACATAGCTGGTGGTTTTCCATCACTGATTCTTAATGGAGTTGCACTCTCTGTTCCAAGCTGATGNGTGGAAATGCAATTTATTTATTTACTGTATCAATTTATATTCCACCATATTCAGGAAACTTTAGGTGTGTCTAAATTTAAAGGCATAATCCAGTTGAGTGCATAACTTTAAAGCTCTGAGTTTTAATATAAACTAGTTTTAGTCACACAGTAAAGTTTCACCATTCTTCTTACCTCCTTCTTATCGTATCTACCCATTCCTGATCTCTATTGTCTTCTTCTGGATCATAAAATAACTCATCATTAGTTGGAATTCGTCGTTGGTGATGTTTTCTTTTTTTCCTGGTTTCTGCAGAACCTGTCACGTTTGAGACAGATTATATTTGTAGTCATGACACAAAATGTATAACTCAAAAACGGAAGCTCCTGTTGAATTAACATCTCCTGGGTGGGTATCTATGAAAAATATTCCAAACAGGTATCTCCTAAATGTGATAGTTTAAATTTGGTCTTACCCAGTCTGATGTCTCCATATGTGATAGTCACATATATAGTGCAACAGAATGAAAAAGCCTCTTAAAAATTAAACACAGCATAAGCAAGAAGATTAATTTGCCACTGTTTTCACAAAGCACAGCAAAGTATAGTAATTTAGAACAATGACTGTTCATCTCCGTTAAAACAAATCATAATTAAATGGACATAATTAGCATAATTATTTCGCATAATTAAATGGACACTAGATTTTCTCAAACACAAGCAGTAAGCTTGTGAATGCTTGTTCCCATTTAGAATATTTTCTTACCTTCTGACTAGAAAATGATTAATCAGTGGATACTGATTCAATCAGACTTAAATGTTTTAAGATCAGCCTTGACATCTAAATAAATTATTAAGAGTTATTAGCCTTATAAAACCTGATATAATCTTGCTACGTATAGGTTCTTTTGTAGCCACCTGAAGAACTTAATAAAATAACCTAACAGATTAAAGGAAAGACCTCAATAGTCTGGCAGCTTGAGAAGCCAAAAACCGTCACAGCAACAGTCTACCTCTATTTTCTAGGGACTGATATGCAGAAGTTTATTTGTTTTTTATATTGTTGTTCATTTAAATTGTGGGACTCTGGGCAGCTAACAATTAAAAACATACACACAAAAATAATCTAAAATATGCAACATAAACTGCAGCCAGGCAGTAACATAACAAACATCCACTGTCAATACAGATACTACAAAGAAACATAGTACGAGGATCCCAGGCTCAACCGCAAAACCAGATTTTCAAAGCTTTTTAAAATTATATATTGTTATTGCTTTTAAAACAAAAAAGGAACAAAGTACAAAGAGGTATACATTATTTTAAAAAAAGAACATAACAAGTGCTTAAAAATTAACAGGGTGGGGGGGGAAACCAGGACTTCAAGGCTTTTTGAAAAGCCAGCAAGGTTTGGATGATGAGTCTGGTATTCCAGAGCTTGGACACCATAACAGAAAAGGCTCTTTCCTTGGGTCCT